AAGGTAGAGAAAAAAAGAGCTACCAGGGGTGGAACTGGCATAGCTGATAAGAACATGAGGGTGAATGTACCAATATAAAGGGTGCGACCAAGGGCCTCTTAAAAAGCTAGTAGGGAGGGATGGTTCCGGGCCATCGAGATGACCTTGAGAGTGTAACCAGTGGCCTCTTAAAAGGCATATTGGGAGGAGTTACGATCTATGTCCGTGAAACGCAGGACTGTGTATCTATGAAGGAAGGATAGAGGATTTTACGTGCTGGGCTAAGGCATGGGACCCCACTTGGAGCGGGATATTCATGGTTACCAAGAGTAGGTATCCTTACATATGAATGGAACGTTAAAAAATGAGGTGGAACAGGTCTGTCCATTAGGCAAATTGACTCAACAGATAATTATCAGAGGCTACGAGCTTATATGAATGGGGCAACAATGCTGCACTGGAATATCTGCAAGAAATATCATGGGCCTGCAAGCAAGAACTGGTGGGGCCATAAAATAGAGAAAGTAATAGAAAATTAAGAAGTTAAAGTGCACTAGGACTTTAGAATTCAACCAGATGGGTACCTGTCACAAAACACGCCAGACTTAGCAATTGTTGATAAGAAAGACAAAAAACTCTGGATGGTGGATCTGGCAATACCTGGAGAGAACAGAAGAGAAGGATACCTGGTAAAGATGACAAAATAGAAAGATCTGCAAATAGAAATGGAATGACTTTGGTAAAAGAAAGGAAAGTTAGTACTAGTAGTCATAGGCGCCTTGGTTGCAATCCCAAAACAACTGGAGCACAATTTGAACACCATCAGCATTGACAAATTCACCATCAGTGAATTGCAAAAGGTGGCTTTATTCAGAACAGCTCAGATTCTGTGACGATACCTCTAACACCATAAAACGTCCACACCTCACTTTCTCAGGTCCTTGGGAAGGACTCAATAGGTCTGTGGGGGGGGGGGGGGGAAAGAATCAATTATTAAACATGCTTGAAATGACAAATATACTAAAAATAGAGTTAAAGTATTAGCTTTTTAATAAAGGTGATGTTAGCATTTTAGCATGATCACCATGCTTCCTTTTGAAGTTCAGGAAACCTAATTTCTTTTTATCCAAAGAGGTTTCTTTTTTAAAAAAATCTAGTCTTTTCAGCAATTACACAATAGGCAGCATCTCCTGGAAAGCCTGGCATACACAGGCGAAATATAAACTCAGTTGGGAATGAGTAACATAACTCAAATTTGCCTCTTGCGGAATGTTATCTAGAGTCAATATTTTCTATTGTTTAATTCTCAGTAATGTATTTTATTATTTCATTTGTTGCTTTCGAATGCATCACATATATCAAATGTATGTATTATTTGTTTCTGTACCCTGTACAAAAGTTGTATGTGTTATATATTATACCCTGTATAATCTACCCACCTTCCCCACAAATATTCCTTATTTTGCCTGAATTTCTGTATTTTCAGGTGAGCAAAAAAAGGATCTTGTCATTATTTTGCATTGCCTTGGTTCTAATTGATTGCACGTCCTTGTTTTTACGTTGTGCTTTACTCTGAGTTGGAAGCAGCGCTAAGCCAGTTGCAATTTGCTGAGGATGCAGAAGGCCTCGTCTCCTAGCAACCGAGACAACAGCAAAAATCCTTGGATTATCTGGGAGTGGTTCGGTGGACTTCCCCTACGGGATGGCAGGTGGCCGGAAAGTCATGGGAAGGGGCTTTGCCCTTAGCTGGCATTGAGGCTCCCTGCCAGGGACCCTCGGGTTTCCTCTTGCAACGCCCCCCCCCCCCGCAATGCACGGCCTGCTTCCCTCACCCACAGACCTAGTCCTTTTACAGAAGGCTGTTGTCTACACTTGTGTGTGGGTGTGTGTGCTGAAGGGTTGGGGAGTGCAGCTCTCTTTGAGCCCAAGCCTGCTGCCTTAATCCAATTTGCCCTCTCTGTTCTGAGCTAATTGATCCCCTGCCCGGCTGGCTTCCCAGATCACCTGCTTTGCTTCTTTCGAGGAGCAGCAGGAGGAGGCGGACAGCCATCTTACCTGCCTGCCTTGGCCTCTTACTTTGGGGTAGGAAAGGAGGCAGGCGCCTCCCCTCGGCTTTCCTCCGGGTAAGTGTGGCCAGAGGCTGCCTGGAGCCCCCACCCCGATCCTGGAAATCCCCCCTTCCCAGGTCCCCAGGGCTCATCCCAGCCCTCCCAGGAAGCAGGGAGCTTGGGCTTCCAAGAACCCCCTCCCCCTCCCCGGAGTCAGCCCCATCACCGGAAGAAGCATCAGCAGCCCCCAGCGCTGCTTCCTCCAGAGGAAAGAATGGGAAGCTTTAGGGGGACAGCTCTTGTCCCTGGACATGGGGAAAAGAGGGGGAAATGTTGCCCCCAACGGCACTTTTAAAGTGGTGGGAGAGGGCTGGGACCCTGCAGCTGTAGGTGATGAGCTGGGTGGAAGACTTTGGTGACCTCCTGAAGAGGACCACAGATCATTGTGCAGGCAGATGGGAGGCTGCTTCTCCGCTTGAGAATATGGGGGTCTTTAGCCATCATAAGAGTGGAGCCTGTCTCTCGGCTGGATAATAGTTTTTCTGACACCCCCCATGACCCCCTCTCTGCACCTGTCAGTGTGCATGTGCGGTTTGTGCATGTATGTGGCTGTCTAACTGTTCCTGTAATCCCCTGCCCCTTGTAGGCATCCCAACCTCCCCAGCAAATGCTCTCCAGCTGCCATCCAAATGCATCCAATGATGGGAGCCCACCTGCTTCTGCTGTCAAAGGGCTTAGCTGAACAGATTTTGGTTGGAATTTGCCTCAGTGGATTCCATGGCGAGTCCATTATTAGCTGCCATGGATGGCAGAGGACCTCTGGACCTTTTTCTGAGAGACTTTCTTTCCAGATGTTAAGCCAGGTTCTCTGTCATCTCTTCTCTTGGGATTTCCTGGTGCTGCTGTTGCCACCCAACTCCTCCTCTCCCCACAGTTGGCGAAAGAGCCAGTGGTAGCATGGAGGGTGTGAAAATGGCAGCTGCGGCTGGATCTTTGGTTGTCAAAGGAGTCCAGAACATTTTAGACTGGGGCTGGTCGAACTGGAACAAAACGCAGTTGGTTCTCCATTGACAGGTGTTACCTCCTGATGGGCTCCAGAGAGCAGACCCTGCCCTCCTCTGGCAGTTGACCCAGATCTGCTTCCTTGGGGTTTTCCATCCCCATGAAAGAGGCCAGAATGTTTCTGCTGCCAAAAGCCTCAACCGTCTCCCAGAGGGGCCCTTGGCCATCAGGTCTGCCCACAGAACTTAAAATCCTTAGCCGCGGCCCAAGAGAGTTTTCCTGAGGACTCTAGTGGGAATTGCTTTGTGCTACTGGGGCAATCTGGCTGGATCTAGAATGTGGTGTTTGCATCTTCTGGTTCTGCTTTGGCCTTGAGCTTCACTGGACCAGCAATTCCCTGGCCATCAGAATCCTTCTAGATCGTTTTTCTATTTTGGGGACAATTCAGAATGATCTATGCCAGCGCAGCTTCACCAGTCAAGGTGCCATGCATAAAAAGCAGATGGAGCTTCAATTGCTGTGTTGTGGCTGCCCCCTTGGCTTCTTGGACCATTCCTGCCATCGCCCAGAGCCTCAGGCCATGATTTTACAGCAATTGCCCTAGAAGTATGACAGCCACTTGCCACCGTGTGGCAATGCCTAAGGGGCAAAAGGCCCAATTGGCCTCCAAGGACCCTCCAGACAGAGGCAACTTTGAGGAATATGGTGGGCAGATTCCAAGTGAGGCTGGGATAGAAAACTGGAGGCAAATGATCTCTGGCAGGCGGAGCAAGGCTTGCCAGCCGCTTAAGCAAAGGCAGCCCAGGAGTCTTCACGGGCCTCTGCAGGTCCTGGTCCAGAAAGGGCCGGTGGGTTTAATAGAAATGCCAGAGCATGGATCCATCACTGTGGCTGCTCCTTCTGGGAGGCTGTAAGAGGGATGCAGAAAGGCCTGCCACAGGTGACCCTCTCTGAACCAAGCCAACCAGTGGCCTCCCCTCCAACATGCCTCCCCCGGGGTTTCTTTTCCAGTCGCTTCTTGATCTCAGAGCTTCTCTCACTCATCCAATTTCCGAGTCTCTCCTGGATCAACGTCGCACCCTGCCCTCCATTCAGCCTTCTGCCAGTGCCAGGATGTTCGACTGGATTGAGAAGGTGGTACCCCAGCCGCCTGTGAAAATCCATGTTTCTGTGGTGGGAGAGAAAGATGCACCAGTGGGACAGAGTGCAGCTGTGGACAGGCTAGAGCCTGCCAAGAAGGTGAGTGGCTGCCCGGAAGTAGCCATTAGTTCTGTTACCTGTACAGAACACCAGTGCCAGGTGAGGGCACGCAAGGCTCCATCGGTTCTCCGATTTTCCCCAAGGAAAAGTGGACTCACAGTGGAGGAAGAACGCTTGGGTCCGTGGTCCGAAGTTTCACTGGCCACGTGGCTGCTGGTGGCTAAACAGGCTGTGGCACTGTGGCTGCATTCACCTAACATGCTCTGCTAAAGCGAATGCGCCATATAGGGGCTCAGTGGGATAGACTGCAGCATACATGATGGCAAAACAGCTGCTGGGATCCCACGATGCATAGAAATTCCAGAGTCAGTTTTGCTTTATTCCTTTTATTCTGAGATAGGGAGCCAGCAGATGAGCCCATTGGGTGTAGAGGGAACCTCAGTCATCCTGCCCAGGAGCGAAAGCAGCTAAGTTCAACAGACTTTGGGACAACCAAAGGAAACTGAGTCACGTTAACAGAGAAGACAATCCAAGAATGCTTCCAGCACTTCCACTTTGCTTATTAGCACAAAGGGGCTTTGGAACTGGGGAAGAGGTTGGGTGAAGAACGGAGCTGGATGGGATCTACTGATCAGAATCTCCGGGATTGGGTCTCCTCAAAGCCAGTGGGCATGTTAAAAGGCCACCCTGGTGTCTGCCACTCTTTCTTAAGTTGTTCCTGAACCCCGATCAGCCTTTCTTGTTGCTTCAGCTTCTTTTTGTAACTTAAACAGTCACAAAATGCAGTCAACAGAAGGAATAACCTTGAGGAACAGGAGGCACTAAGATAGCAATTAGACAAAAGATATAAGAAATGTGAGTCTAGGCCAGAAACACAACTGAAAAAAATATCTCATATGAGACACCCCCTCCCCTCTAGTTCTTATGAAGATAAAGAGGGGGGGGGACATTTGCAAGATTTTGTTACTGTGACCTTATAATAAAAATAGTCTCGGCACGTACGACTTTGGTTTCCTGGTCTGCTCTGCCTTGAGGGGCTGGCCCGATTGGCCTCCCTCCCTCCAGGGCTGGTGTTCCCAGGAAGCTCTGCAGAATTCTCTCAAGAACCGTGAGACTGGCAGGGACGGAGTCAGGGCCTCCTGCTGGCTGTTCCTTCTTCCACTGCTTGATGTTTCATGCAATTCAT